TTACTATATATATATATATATATATATATATGCAACCGGCACACCACCGCAGATGCACACCCGAGCAAAAAAAAAAAAATGGAAACGAGAGCGCGGGATAGATGAGCATCCAAAGCAACAATGAAAACATAAGGCATCAACGTGAGGAGGAAAGAAAATAATCACCATGATTCCTACAGAGATGCATGCGCCTATATGCACACAGTCTCTATATACAAGGACACATATTTCAATTTCCAACAAACATACAGAGTCCACAAAAATAAGAATTTTTCTTTCTTTTTTTAAACAATGGCGTATCAAGATAAAGCGAGAGTGCAGTAAAGTATGCATAATAGAGAGAAATAGCAAACAAAATATTTAACAGTAGACAAGGTGTATCCTTCTTGTCCTTCATCCTCCGCGCAATACCGGCTGCGAATGGAGGCCTGCTTCACGCAGAAGCCAAAAATAATTTTTTTAAAAAGATATAAAAATATATATAAACATTTCCCCCTCTTTTTCTCTTTTTGCTCCTACAACGACGACGACACGCCAAGGGACTTTGTTCGCAGCTCATCAATGGTACTCACACCACAAGCAAACATGGCAACAATAAGTTCCTTTTTAAACTTCTGAATCATTGCACGCACCTTCTCAGGACTCTCCAGTGCGGCCTTCAAAAACGGAATGGCCGCCGTTGCACATTCCGCACCCATCATGAGAGATTTGGCGATGTCCAGACCATTGCGAATACCCCCACCGGCGATAAGATGGAGGTTGCCAGATCGTGTGAGAGAAGCACATTCCTGCAGGGCACGGTCCGTGGTGATTCCAACGTCCCGAAAGAGGTATCCCATGGTTTCCTCCTCAGGTACATCGCGCTGCCGCCTGCCCTCAATCCACGCCCATGAGGTCCCACCACATCCCGAGACGTCAATGTATTTGACCCCCACTTTCTGCAGCGCAATCACGCTCTTTCGGTCTATCCCGTGTCCAACGCCTTTCACAACAACTGGTACAGTAATATGCGGCAACAGTGCTTCAAGTTTAACCAGCAGGGATTCAAAGTTGGTGTCTCCCTCCGGCTGACAAGCCTCCTGCGTGTGATTAAGATGGATAAAGAGACCGTCTGCGTTGACGCATTTTATTAGACGATTCACCTCCTTAACGCCAAATCCATAGTTCAGCTGTACCAGTCCAATATTAGCAAACATGGGAGCAGAGGGACAAAACTTTTTAACGTCAAAAGTATATATGGCAGAAGCATATCTGTTTACAATACGCATACTGCCTAATCCAAAGGCTATGCCTTCCGCCTCACAAGCCTTGGCCAAATTCTCATTGATAATACGACCATGTTCCTCCCCACCGGTCATGGAGGAGATAATAAAAGGGAACGACAGAGTCCACTGCATAAATTTACACCGCGTATCAATTTTGCTCATTTTAATTTCTGGTAGTGCCGTATAAGGAATGCGGTACATGGCCCATATAGATTTCCCACTACTGTACGGTTCAACATCCTTGTGAAGACATATATCAATATGATCCTTTTTGCGCTTCCGCACAATATGCTCCTTATTAACAGCAGACCCCTGACTCATTCCCCACCACCGCAACGCCTTCCTCGTTCGCCTATTCCTTATTTACGATAGTTTCTGCAGTGTTCTATTTATACGACTGACACTAGCAACAACAACAACAAAAAAAAAACAACTAAAATTTTCTACCCTTTAGGACTGCGAGATGTGTAAATACATCACAACAAATGTATTGCAAGTGCATGGTGTGATAACGATACACACCAAATAAATAAAATGAAACAAAAATAACACAAACAACACGATGTGTAGAAGGACGGACGTGGAAGGATAATATCATTTACACATGCTCAATTATTAGTTGAAAGTGAAAGAAGACATGTACCAATCAAATAAACGCACGTACACACACGCATCGAACACCAGCAACATACAAGAAGGAGAAGTGTCCAACTTATTCAGCGTTGCCGAGACCAACGTCACGTCGTGTACTAAGGAAGGCGATGTATGCGTCAACACACTTGAACAAGGCGGCGGCGTCAACCATGGTGACATTCTCTTCATTTACTTTTGTGTCTCCTGCGCTTTGAGGGCGCTGCTTCGTCATGTCGCGATGAATCTCCTCCTTGAAGGAAAATCGTTGGGGAAGCAAAAATTTAATCATCTCGAAGAATCGCCTGAGTGACTCCTCGGCTTCCTCCAAGGATCCATCCAACCAAAAGTAGGCCGCCTCCTTCTCTTCCGCGCCGGGCACGTACTCACCGCTGTGCCTCTCCACAGGGGTTAAGCCAAGTGAGGCCATCACGAAACGCGCGGACACCATCCCCCGCATGCAATTGAGTGCCATCCGCAACCACCTTAGCCGGCACTTCTGAAGATATATTTTCAGTAACAAGTGCATGCCGCGTGGAAGTGCCATAATAGCGCGGCAAATTGTCTCACAGTCACCGCCTTCACACGCCATACACAACTTAATTGTCCACCGCACATCACTTTTCTTTATTCGTAATGATGCGCTTTTACACGCTTTTGCGCTTCTCGCAACCGTGTTTGTGTAATTTATTAACTCTGTCGCCAACGCATCATACTGGCCGCCAAGGGAAAGGTACGCAAGACGGTAACAAAAGAAATCAGAAACCGAAGTTTCACTGACTTCAGGAAGCCCCTTATACAACTTCTTCAATGAGGCCTGGCACTGGTTAAATTCCCCAATGTCTCCTAACTCTAAACAAATAAGAGCGTGTCTTTCGTACACTTCAACAGCAAATCCATCTACAATATCCTGCACACAAAGATCCTGCCTTAATCCTTTCAATTGTTCGTTCAGGTAACGTGCCGAGGCGAGCGAATTCTCCTTACTTTCCTTCTCCTTCGCCTTTGCAATTACAAACTCCAGAGCCTTCACAAGAACATTGCGTGGACGAATATCCTCCGGCGTTGGCTCGTACCTGGAATACACTCGTTCGAGCTCTTGTGACGTACCAATGAAGCGACGCGAAGCCGGCGACGAAGTATTGCAGGAAACCAATTCTCGAAAAAAGGCACGTGTCCGCTCAGACTCCAATGAGGTGGACCACGTTCCAGTATCCAGCCGCTGCAAGTTTACTTCCCCGCGCCGCGTCTTGCTTGGTCTTTCCTTCTCCAGACCTCTCTCTTCTCCCTCTAGATGTGTCCTCGGGACCTTGGCAGGCAATGCGGATCCCCCTTGCACCGGCTCGCTGGAACTCGCTGCCAGTGTTACTCGTGATGAGGAGTGTGTGTTGCGACGCTGAGCTTCCATCTGCGCTTGGTACTCACGCTGAAGCTCCTGCGCTGCCTGAATCAACTCCATGAAGGTCACCGTATCATATCTCTTCTTCCCCGCCGCCACCTCCATATCTGTAATATAAATCGCTTGAACCAAAAAGGCGCGGAGCTCCGTTGGGGCGCGCCTCGTAGACTCCGTCACCAAAAGGGTGCGGTGATCCACACTCGGCTGCGTGACGCCATTTCCTCCTTGATCCGAAACACCGCCGTCCCGAAGAAGGGTGGGCTCTCTGTCTACTGCATTCATCGGCATCACAGGAGACATATGCGCCCAGTCCTTCCCTTCAACTCCGCCCGGTTCGCGCAGAGCATCCTCCACAACCCCAACAGCCCACTTCTCATACTTGCACCGATCCGCCTCAGTCGTTCTGGTTTTCGCCAGGTATGAGGCACGGTTCAACCAATCGCGGAGCGGCTTCGTCATCTGCACACCGTGTGAAGTGAAAAATTCGGATGAAAGATACGACACCGACTTCATCCTCCATACACCTTCCTGAAGATTCATACATACATAGATATATATATATATAAAAAAAAAAATAGGACACAAACCAAAGTGAAAAAAATTCATTGTCCACAGCCTTCTCCCTCTCTCTATCCTTCCTCCCCGCCCCCCCTCCCTCCAGCCATGCACAGATATTTGACAAAACAACAACAGCATCCACCCACAGCAAACTGCATGCGTGCACAGAAGCACATTTTCTTATTTCTTAAAAAAAGAAAGAAATAAAAAATTGGGACAAACAAAAATAGCAATCAAACCGTTAACTACTATCTCCATTGTATGTTGTTTGCTTACCTCCGCAGCACACTAGCAAACAAGGTGGTAAATTGTCCTTACTCCCCATGTGATCCCCCCTTTTTATTCTTTCCTTTCTTATTTTTTTCTCCTTTTGCTTCTCACAACACGGCAGCTCAATGTAAAAGCTACTCGTTAGACGTTTTTAGCATAATTTGAAGAACATCTTCATCTTCCAAATGATGTCCTATACCAACTCGTTGTGGCTGATGCTTGGTACTAGTTCCCCACACCAGAGCGTACTTAAATCGCGACACGATATCCTTATGTATCCGCTTACAGATATGCTCAACGTCTGCATTACGCTTCACCACGAAGGGCTTCGTGAAGTCTGGATGGGCACCGTGTTTTTTTGTGTAGATGCGAATAATATTAAGATGCTCCCAAATTTCTTCAATCACTTCCTCCACGTTGAGATCCCACTGCAGCGAAAGCACTACTGCATGTGGTAATCGGCTTAGTCGATCCATCTCCTCCATTGTAATGGTGTCTATTTTATTGTAAACGTAGAGGCAAGGCATATACCGTCGATTTCCCTCAATAATGTCAATAAACTGATCAATTGTAATGTCTTCCCGTATAACCACTTCTGCATTATGGATTCCATAGTCTTTCAATATTTCCTTTGCCAAGGCTTCAGACATACCCTGCGTTAACTTCACAGTGGAGGTAAAGCTTATGGCGTTCATACTACACGAGGGTTTCTTTTTGAATGTCACATTGGGAAATCTTTGATTTAGGCGAATACCCACGGTCTCCAGCTCTGCCTCAATCTTGCTTCGTTGAGCCTCTGCTTTAGCTGCATCCAACATCAAAATAATAATATCAGCCGTTCGAGCCGTGGCAATAACTTGTCTTCCACGTCCTTTACCTTCCGCTGCACCTTCAATGATACCTGGCAAGTCTAAAATCTGAATTTCTGTGCCCTTGTAAACCAGCTTCCCTGGAATACAAGTTAGCGTGGTAAACTCATACCCGGCCGCCTCACTCGTTGTCGCTGTTACACGAGAAAGAAAGGAGGACTTCCCAACAGAAGGAAATCCTACGAGGGCGCAGCGCACATCACCACTTTTCCGTACCTCAAAACCATCGCCTCCACGGGCCCCAGCAGCCCTCGAGGCGTTCTCCAACATTTCGGTCTTGATGCGGGCCAGCTGCCCCTTGAGACGACCTATATGGTACTCCGTTTTTTTGTTCTTCTGCGTCCTGAAAATCTCCTCCTCGATTGCCTTGCGGCGTTCAAGAAGCCCCATCCTACCGTAAAATAAATAAATAACGCCGTTAACCACTCTCTTCCTAGTCTGGTGGATTCCTCCAACCCACCCACAACAACAAAAAAAAAAAGGCAAAACACATGTTTCGCACAGCATAACAGGGGCATCACCTGCAAAATAATAATAATAATTAATTACATGCCCTTTCTCCCCGTTTTTATTTTTTTATATTTTATTTTTTTCTCACCGCTCCGTGTATATATACTTGTTCTTTTTTTTTTTTTTTTGGCGTGGAGTTTACTAACACGGTCCTATCCATGAAAAAGAGCTACCCACCTCTTCTTCACAATGTTAGGTGGCGACTAGACTTTATTCCATCGCGCCGTTAGCCGCCACAGGTTTGGAGGCTGAAAGCCCCATGAAACACTTCAACGGAGCAAATCCATACTTTTTGGCCTCCCGTGCAATTACAGGGTTCTTCATTAGGAAGGGAATCCAGCCATCGTCAATAACACGTACTAGCTCCTGTGCTGTACAAAGAATTGCCCTTGGACGCCTAATGGGAGACCATGTCATGTACGGGACCTGCTGTGAACTAGTTGTCTTTATTCGATGGTCCTCCAGAAGAGCAAAAAGGATCATGGCGAAATACCGCAGCCCTTCCTCCTTTGCCACCACGCCGTTGCTGACTTCGACACCCGCCTTTAATACTCCAACTGTGATGCCAGTCAGACAGGCCTTGCCGCAAGACCAAGGTTGTGTACCGTGGGAGTCGCAGATGTACAGACTCCACGCCTCACTATAGCGTGCATGGGGGCGTCCCTTTACATCATGTGCCAGCGAGAAAATGGATACCGTGTAGTCGCCTGAGGCGATGATGTAACCACACACCGGTAAGGAACTATCGGCATCTCTGTTACGCCTTACTGTGCGGCACAACTGATCTACGAGTTCCTTCGCTCGATCTCGTTGATTATAAAAAAGAACTTCAAACTCCCCTTCATTAACTCGACTAGGGAAGAACTCGTGAAGTCTAAGAGCTGTGTTAAGATCACCAACGGTGGGTCGTGCTCGTCGTTGCGGCCAAAGCGGGGCCGAAAGTTGATGCAGCCAGGCCGAAATATACAACAAATAGTTTACAGTTGAAACACCACTGCACTCTTGCATAGTCACTGCCAATCCCAATGAGGAAAGAATGACAGCGGCAATGGTGGAGAACGTTTGACAACAGTCATGCGTCTGCGGTGGCATCAACTTCTTAGTTCTCCCTCCTCTGGCGTCAAACTGGGAACATGAACCGCGAATACAAGCTATCGTGTTTTCAATGAAAAAATCACACTTTCCGCCTCGAACGGCAGCTATGTCGTTTAAACTAATGTCAGTTAATCGACCATGGATGCGATGCAGACGCTGTTGTTCACGCCAGGCTCTGCGCTTCGCCCTACTCACGATGTTTGATGTGTGCTGAACATGAGCAACGACATCAGCGTTGGTGCTCGTGCTGCTTTCTAACAAAGTTCGTTGCTCTGCCAAAAGTGATGTGGTTGATACCGTAGAGGCCTCTTCGGCACTCATCACCCGCTGCTACCAAAATTCCAGTGGCGAAGGCTTACACAAAAATTGAGTGCCAAGAAACAAACACAAAAAACCAGAAAAAAAAAAAAAGATTCAAAAGGAGTCAGCGGCCAAAGTCAATAGAACGCAGAAGGAACAGGTGGAGGAGAGCAATGACATTTTCCTCTTTGCTCCCTTCCTCCATGCCCCAGCAAAACAAAGACCAAGACACACAACAGGCATGAATGCTTTTATCATCAATATTCCCTCTTCCTAACGAATACTTACTTCTTGATAAGCGTCTTCTGAATGCGACCGACCAAACTTACGCTGTTATCAGTGGCCCCATCAGCAGCAACGGCGATGGGAGTGTTCCAGTCAGGCGTACCCCTGACAAAGACCTCCTGATTGACACGGATGACACCTTCCTCCTTGTCCCAGTGAATATTTGGGTAAATCCGTGCAAGTTTAGTGAGGACATCAAGCGCCGCAATGGGTGTATTCCTGTCGTCGGTTTGGAGCAGTGACGCTCGCGCCTCTCGAGCAACACGAAGCTGTAAATTAGCGTACTTGAAAAGGGAGCGTTCACGACCAGCATGCATGGAAGGCAGGCGCGCCTTGAGGTCCAGCTGTGGTGGAAGCTTATCTGCCTCTCCGTCATTAATCACTTTTACTTCTTTAATAAACAGTGTTCGGATTATCTTCACGTTCGGACCGTTTCCTGCAATGCCCTGGAAAAGCACAAGTAGTTCTTCCGCTGGGTTGTAGGTAAATATTGTACCCTTCACGGTAGAACCGTCCAGCAACACAAGCGCCACGGGCACACCAACGGCCTGCGTCTCGGAAAGGGAACCCGGCATTAAGATGCTGCTGGTGTGACCTACAGAGAAGAATAAGTTAGCTTCGTACTTGCTTATTATTATTATTCTTTTTTTTTTTTACCTTACAAGGAGAAATAATAATAATTAAAAAAAGAAAACAGCAGCACCACCAACAATTTAAAAAAAAAAAAAAGCACCGCCACCTATAAAACACAATAATAATAAATAACACAGCACGGCAATTTGACACCCTGTTTGCAGCAGGAATAAAGGGACGAAGAGGAGTCATGTGAGTCGTGTTGTACCACGTCACCACCATCTATTTCCCCACCCCATGCGTGGAAAAACGACAGCCCCGTTCAAAGGGCATCAAAGTATGTGATGCATAAATAACTGTAAAACAAAAAAAAAAAAACAGACATGTGCGGAGCCGTTTTGTCTTTTGTTTCTCGCTGCGTGTGTTGACTTCCTTCTTTTCTGTTCTTTCATGTAAAGAGTGCATTCCAATCCCTGCCTTTTGGTTCCCTTCACTCCCCTTCCCCCACCCCCGTCCTCTTCCTGGTCACTTCAGTTTAGGCATGAAAGACGTAATGCATCCCTCGCTTGGCGTATACAAAGACATTCTTCGACTTGGCGTAGTTGAGAATTTCTCTCCCAGGAACAGAAGATGAGCCCATGAAGAGGTGTGTGCGCCTCGACAAGAGTTTGGAGTACATTTCCTTCAGTTGGCGGTGACGGTCGCCCTCGGGTGGCTCCCTTGACCACTCCTTGAGAAACTGGTATATACCTGCTAAGTTGTTAATGTGTGCTGGAGACAGGGTATTGTGGCAACTCACCAGACCAGAATCGTTGGGCGCGCTTAAAATACCGTCAAACCAGATGGAGGGCGGGATCTTGTCCGCATTCACCGCATTAAACTTATTCCGCACCTCCATGTCAGCCGCGCGAAAAACAAACTTGTAGTCTATAGGGTCTACGCGATGCTCCATCGTGAACGGCGAACCGGCACTGCAGCAGATGGCTCGCATGGTGCTGTAGCTGGCGTTGTTTTTCGCGCGGCGGGGCAGCAGCTGGTAGAGGTTATCATCTTTATGAACGCTAAGTAGTTCTGCCCAACCATCCAGCAGCACCGGCTGCCCCGCAGGGTGTTGCGGGGGAATCATACCAAATTGCCGCATAACTGCCTGCTGCTCCGGTGAAATGGCCTCAAACACAAGGGATTTTGCCTCATATGCATCAAATACACGGTTGTGAAGCTTTTGCTGGGTCACATTCCCCGACATATCGCGAAGTCGGACCACCAGGGTCTGCAGCGTCGTATTCAGCAGCGACATGCCGTTGGCGCACTATGAAACCCCACTACTTCCCCCTTTTTATGAAACTACGTGTGGGGAAAGAAAAGTAATAACTCAAAAAGGAAAAAAGAAAAAAAAACAGTAACAATAAAACAAATCTTCCCCATATGCTTAAAAGGGACAGAGAGAGGTAACAATAATACTGAGTAGACGTGTTATGGACTGATACTATTTCTGAAGGCAATACACGTAATCAAGTATCTGTAACACTCCACAGTACGTGGATAGTGCAGGTACACTTCCCAAAATACCTCGTCATTCATTTCCTTTCCTCACACCTCGCCTCCTCGGGCATCAGCAGCTACACATGAAGTAGTTGTGCCTCTTGTCCAGTCGTAATAGCAATCCACTGTTCATGTTGAGAGTACCATAAAATGTTATTAATGGGATGTTCGCCCTTGTAGTTCATGATGCACTTTGGTGCCACATTCGGAAGTTCATTGATGTCCCAAATGTAGGCAGTGCCATCTTCGCCAGCACTACAAAGATTTGTCGCAGAGTTCGGCGCCCAACACACACTGTTAATTGGCTGTGGTCGAGAATTTTGCAAAATGCCCACAGGAACAGCTGGAAAGCGGGTGTCCAGCACGACAACTTCTGTCCCTTCAACACCAAAGGTGGAGATATACGTCTGATCTAGCTTGTCCCACGCCACCCGCAGGAGTGGCGACAACAAGTTAGACTCGTACAGAATCGTACAATGCTCAATCTCCCGCAAGTCAAATATGCGCACCGAGCCATCCGCCCCACAACTTGCAAAAGTATGAGTGCCCTTTGCAAATGCAATGTCGTATACGTCCTTGTCATGAGCGATAAGTCGCGTGTTCTTCCCATTCTCAATGTCCCAAATGGTGACGGTGGTGTCTACGCTGCAGCAGCCGACAATATTGGGGTCGTCAATGTTCCAATCACACGAGGTGACCGGGAAGCAGAACTCATTCTGCTGTTTCCCACTATCAAAGACCGTTTTGAACACCACGTGTGAATCGATATGATCCTTCTTTGACGCCACTTTGCGCGGGTCATCATTCTCGCGGTGTTTCTCCTCACTGTTACGTTCCGGGGGGCCCTTTTTTACTTCCCACAGACGAAGATAATCGGCCGTTGTGATGATAAGATCAGTCGCGGTCCTTTCAGGAGCAAACATCACCTTGGTTGGCGGGTAGCAATGCTCCCATGTGGCTCTACAAACCAATTCCCCCTCCTCGTTCTTCTGAACAATATCCACATGATTTTTGTACTCTTGTATGTACGAGGAAACAGCAAAGCGAAAGGGTTCATTGTCCCGCGTGCTCCATGAAAGGCCATTCGCCACCCATCCAGTAGAGTACGACAAGACACTTGGCCGCTGTTGCTGTTGCGGTTGTTGCTGCATCGTCTTGGTGAGCTAAACACAGTTTAAGGCAAAGTCAACAGCAACACACAGTCCCACACTCTTCACGAGAGAAAGCAAAAAAGGACAAAAAAAAAGAAAAAAAAGGTGAGGGTGGGGGGTGGGGAAGAGAGATCAAGGAAGGGAGAGACACACATGTACACATTACACTCCGTAAGGGCAAGTAAACTTCGTACAAATAGCATTCAAGTGCGCAACGGCCCACAACCAGCCACTCCACAATGAACTATCTTACATACATTCATTCTAGCACAGTTGCCAGCGGATATTGACTGCAACTATGATTCCTCCCCAATCCGCTTCCTTAGAGCCTCCACTTCCGCCTTGAGGCATGCATTCTCTTGCTGAAGTGCTTCGTAGTCTGCAGCGGAAGCGCCACCAAGCACCTTCTTAATGAAGTCCACTGGGTCCTCCGGCTTCTCCGGCTCTTCGTACAGGTTTACAAGCACACGCGTCAAGGTGTCAATCACCTGTTTTCGCTCGAGGTACTTGCGGAACTCTTCCTTCTTTGCTTCACTGGACTGGTAAGACATGTCTTGTAGACGTGACTGTGGACGTATGCTCACCTTTCAGTATGTTTTATTTTTCGGCTCCGTAAAATGAACTATGCCCGCAGTCGCCGCGGCGCAAAGAAAAAAAGCAAACGCAAAAAGACAAGAAAAAAAATCAGGGCAAAGAAAAAAGAGAAGAACATCAAGCCAAGAAGCAAGAAAAGTTGTGTAGGAACGACGAGAGAGGTGGTTTTATGATCCGATTTTTCCCATCTCTCTTTTCACAGAGGCGGAGGCAAAAAAAAAAAAAAAGAGAAAAAAAACTTCAACGTCTATGGGACAAACAAGCAATTGCAGACAGAGACAACTAACTCAGAAAATATAAGGAATTATGAATTCCTGTTATTGGTGCCTCTTTAATTTGTTCTTTGCACGGCGTCCCCGCGCGGAAAAGTAAAAGACACCTACCCATCTCTGGTAATGTCGTGGTCGTGCCGCCCCATTTTATTTATTGTTTTTCTTTTGCAACCTTGATGGTTTTGTTGCGTCTCTCTTCTTTCTCTCACGTTGTACCAAAGGATAAACACGCGCATACACACATCATGCCTCACACACGCATACGCGAATACGTGTAGAAAACTAATCTTTCTTTCCAACGGCCCGCTTTGAGAACGCCTTGATGCGTTCATCTCGCCGCACAAGCCGCTTGGGCGCCGCATTCCATAGCCGCAAAATTACCGCCAAAATCGCCACAAGATGTGCAATGGCCACGACCACAACGAAGCACCAGACACCGTACATGTCCAAACTCATTTTGCCCTATTGTGGGATAATACTTTTAGGGAATTACTGGTGACAGCGCCCGAATGCACGGGGTATAAGGTGGTTGCAGGCGGTTCAGTACACAAACGCGGCAACTGCAGCAATATTCATACTCCACAACGCACACGCAGAGGCTATCAAGAGAATAAAAGCAAAAAACAAAATAAAATCAATGGGAAGAAGAAACAAGGACATAACAAAAAAAAAAAAGAATGCACCCACACAATCTTCTGACAGCACACTTCATTCGCTCAGAGTCCTATAAGGACGGAAGCACGATCATCAATACTTTTTTTTTCATTTAATCGAAGGGGTTTGGCTCGTCTAGTTAAAAGATTCCTTTCACAACAATAACTTCTCTGTAAACCGCATTATACACGGGCATACACTGCGTAATGTTTTTCTAAGCCCTTTCGCGCTGTGCGTTGCGCATCCTCACTAGCATCCGTGGCGTGGTTCAGCACCTTCTGTGTCATGGCGTCGCTTTGCAGCTCCTCCTCGCCTAGCCGACGAAAGAGTGGGCATCCGTCGAGGCACGACACCATCCACTCCTCCAGCTCCTTGACATCTGACACAGTGAATAGCAGCCCCCCAATCTTAAGCCAGTAGGCATACTCATGTACAAGTCCGGGTGAAATAATGCGCCGACGAATATTCTTCCTCTTCCAGTGAGGGTCCGGGTAACAGAAGAAGAGAGCCCGAAGTTGCCCCTTACGGAAGCAGTTCGATCCAAACTTCATCACATTCATCTGCTCAAACCAGAGATTGCAGAAGTGGTGGGATGAATTGGAAGCGGCCTCTCGAAGAGCCAACGTTTTTCCTTGGGCAAAATTAACGACCTTAGGGCGTATCTCAAGGCCCAGCATGCAAACATCAGGAAATTCTTGCGAAAGGGCGAATAACATGCCGCCAAATGCACACCCCACATCGACAATCTCAACTACCGGGTTAGGCATCGTGGGAAACAACTCCATGCAGCGGAGCTCCAACTCCAACGGGCTATCGGGATGGGCATCACTGTTTTCAGCCAGCGGGTTCCGATGCGGACGAGTGCGGATCGGCAGACGAGTCCACTTCGGTAAGACGGCGTTTGCCATTTCCCAAAATATTACACGCCACCTGCGAGAGAAGGGCCCTTAGATCGGCCACGAAAAGAAGATACAAAAGAGAAAAAAATGAATTCAGCTGCAAAAGAATGAGACAGGCAACAAACTTCACACCCCAAACACGTACAGAAAAAACAACAACAACAACAACCCAGAGCGTCCCACTGTCTCTTGTTCTCTCTTTCTATAAATCTTCTGTAACAGGCCTTTTTTTGGCATGCACCTGCTTGAGTCGCTTCTTCAACTGTGCATTTTCATCCACTAATTTCTCCAGTTCCATTGTAACTCGTCCAAGAACGGTGTTACACTCTTCTTGTTCCGCCTGGTGCCTGCGTCTAGCACCTGCCAATTCCGACTGGAGTTCCTCCTGCTTTCTCTCACTGCGTCTATCCAACACACGGTAGTTTTCCTCCAACATCGCCAGCTCCTTGTTAAGCGCCCCAATTGCCATTTCATTTGCCTTTAGTTGGGGTATAAACCCTTCCTCATCGACATCTCCCACACCACCATTGCCACTTTTAGACGCCAAAAAGTGTGGCTGCAGCCGCGCCGGCGACCCACTACTAGACAAACGCAGCAGTTCGATGGTTCGATCCTGATGGGCCACGGTTTGCCGAAGCTGATGCAGCTCCCTAACACTCTCGCGCCCCCTAGACAAGTCCTCCTGAAGCAACGCCAGACGGTGCAACACCTCCCGCTTTTCGTCCTCGCAAAGCTTAAGCTCCTGCGTGAGTGTCACCACCTTTTGACGCAGCTCCCGAATTTCATCTCCATGATTCACGGACACGGAGCGTGAGTCACGAAGCTTCAAGCCAACACTATTCACATGAAGCAAAGTGTCATTCAGCTTCTTCACCAGTTTATCCTTCTCCTCAAGTAGGGCACGAAGCAGCACGTATGACTCCTCAATAGAGAAGGGCTTTGCAGTGTCTAACAGCATTTGTCGTATCCCTGTTTCAATGTCATTAGCGATGGGGGCCATCCTCGCTAGTATACCTCGAAAGTACGTGGAATTGTTAGCACTAAGGCTCTCCTCAACACTTTCAACTGTCAAACTGCGAGCCCCACCCACCGCCGGCACTTTACATACCACCGCACTAAACGTCCCTAAGGCGGGAAGGATTACACGTCGCTCCAGCAGCGAGAGGTACTCCGTCAAGGACACTAACGAAGCGCATGTGTCGGAAACCAGCCGATCACGTTCCCTAAGTTCTGCGGTCAACTCCTGCTCAATCTGATCGCGTTGGCGCTCCACAAAGACGCACTCGTCAATAACCTCGGAGAGACTTTGCTTTGCTTTGTGAAGCTCTTCGATAAGCTTGGCGGGGTTGGCGTCCCCCATAATCAGCCTGGCAGTTCGCTGCCCCTTCTTTCTTCTTTTGCGATGTAATGTTGCCGCAAACGCCAAACATGCAGGAAGGAACAGAATGAGAGAGAACAAATAGGCAAAGACTTGAAGTGCATAAAAAATTCAAAGTAACACGCCTGCAGAAAGGAAATACCAACATCTCTCAGAAGAATTCAACAATTTCACTCGATTTCTGTGAAAGGCGCGCACCCAGGCACATACTCACACACACACAAACTTCTTTCTTACCTGTGCGTTTCTTGTCTCCACTTAGCGCCCTGGAGCAATGCGGGTATTCTGTCGAAAACTCTCGTCATGCGCACTTACCCGACTGATCGGCCCCTTCATGCGACTGATGACAGTGCTGTCTCTCGGTGGACGTGAATGAGACGCCATGGTTTGGGTCGACATTCCTCCTTGCAGCTCCCCCATGACATCTCGCATATCGTCAGAATAGCGAGCCACCACATCTGAGGCCTTCACGTGGTGGGTCCAGAGAAACTCATTATTTTCAGCACCATTTTCCTTATTCGCATCTCTGGCGTCACCTAGTTGATATTGTTCATTCCTTGCCAACTGCCGCCGCACTTTACTTGGCAGACGATCCAATGTGATTCGGCCCATATTTCCCATCTGGAAATCGTGTATCAAAAACATCTGCGCCCGTACAGGATCTATATTACCCAAATCAGTCTGCCCACTGGTTCCACTGCGCTCACATATCATTGCAATACAATCGTCAAAGCTGATTGGGGCGCGCGGGAGGTGCAAGCACTCCGCCATGTGCTCAGCGATTCCTGCAGCTGTAAGTACGTCGTAAATGTACCGCGCCACAACACTACGAGGGAGCGTGATGTCATTTGTGGGTATAATGCCACACGCCGCCAACTTTAAACCCGCCTCCTTTGAAAAACACCCTGGGAGCGTCAGGCCAGGGGAGTCGTAGAGGACAATGTTAGGATCACGACACACAGGGACGAGCTTCATACCTTTCGTTGTGCCCGGAGAAATACTCACAGCTTCCGGCGTGCGAGGACGTCGAAAATCCTCACGATGAAACTGATACTCATGTGCCAATCGTAAAGAGTTGATGAGGGTCGATTTACCTACATTGGGCATCCCAACCACGAGTCCAACATGCGCAGTCGTCTTAAAATGTTGCGCGGGTAAAATATGTGTCACAAATCGCTGCACAGCTTCTACTGTGTCCCTCCAACTCCTCTTAGCACTCGTGAAGAGAGCAAAGCTGCCTGTCTTCTCGTAGTACTGTTGTATGGTGCGGTTGCAATCTTCATTAGCCATCTCTGCCTTGTTGAAGACAATGAGCCTCGGCTGTCCGGAAATGATCTTTCGCAGGTTGGGATTTTCCGTCGAAAAGGGCAGTCGTGCATCTCGTATTTCCAGCACAAAATCCGCATCCTTCACCTTCTCCGTTAAGGACTGAGAAGCAAGTTGCATGTGCCCCAGGTACCACGCCGGGCCTTTCTCACCTATGTCAACGAAAGCCTCGCGAGACATGCCCTTTCTTGCGGAGTGGTCCATGGCTTCCTTGTACGACGCTAGTGTCCGCTTTACTCGACGCATAAAAACGGGATCAAACACATTGCGGCAGCAGACACCATGTCGCATCTCCTCCTTTATTCCTCCTTTCCCTTCCGTTCTTATGTTTCTGTTTCTGTGGCGGTCGGCAGGAAGAGAGGTGGGACAAAAATGGAGGCAAAGAGAATTCCCAGCCGACGTGAAGAACAACCTCAAGGCAGAGAAAGAGAACAGACCCAAGTCCACCGCTGCTTTCTGACACGCACACACATACCTCCACATACGACAGAGCCACTAACAAAAAATAAAAATAAAAATGAAGCTCAATATTTACTATTTTCTTCATTGAGTTCCACGCCTCACCACCTCCTTATTTTCCCTCCTGCGTCTTGTTTTTGGCAGATACCCTGCTCAATTCACGAAATAACAAAACAGCAAAGTAAACCACCATTGCGCGTGCATACAGAAAAAAAAAAGGTAAAAAATCTACTACGTGAGAACACCCACGGGGTGAACGTGTAAACGCGTCCGGGGCGATGGGACGGGAGGGGGAAGGTGGTGGTTTGCAGAGGCGGGGAACCATCAGCATCAAGAAGAGGCAGGAGAAGAGCAGACAAAAAAATATATATGCCAGAACCGCAATTCACTCCCATCTCCCCTGGACCACCAGCTGTGGAAAAAACTGAAGAGCAAGGAGAAGGATAATCATGGGCTGACTGCTTTGAGGGAGTGACTAGAAATATAGAATTAAAAAAAAGAAAGAGATTAAAAAGACTGAGTGGATAATGAGATATGCTCACCTCGTCTGTAGTCCCGCATTCACTCTTCACTCTTCATCCTTCACTTCCGCCCTTCTCCTTCGCATCTCTTCTCTTTCTACAGGTAGCAACGTGCGGAAGGCCAGCTTTGTATATCGGTGCATCAAACTGCATCGACTTGAGGAAAAAACAATAGAAGAAAATAAAAGACAAGCAGGCAAGCACAAAAACACAGACAAACGCCAAGTAAAACTCAAACCCGGCTACGCACATGGAAGCAATATATATATATATATATATTATGTTTTTCATGGTGTCCGATTAACGGAACATGCGGCTAAATGAGGTCCTTCTCCTCCTATTCCCATAAACAAAGAAGGCACAACAGTAAAGGAGATAGAAGCTCGGTTTCAGTGGGAACCCCGCATCCCACCATTGAAGGGGACTTTACCATCCACCCACGTAAAAAAAAAAAGGCTTTCCGGAATAAATCGGTTCCTTCTGAAGCAACGAAGCAAAAGTCTCCACGACTTCTACTGTCGTCGGGTTCCCCCACGTGGCGTGTACCGGCAAGTATACTAGTAGCGGCAGCGGTAGTAATAATAATAAGAGTTGTAGTAGTAGTGGGGCAGAAAAAAAGAAACAAATACATCAATAAATCCTGTCGCCGCGCTCCAACGGAGCGTCCATTGAAAACACAACAAAACCAAAAGTACAGGGCAAATACACCGGATACTTCCGCAAAACACCTTGCCATTCACTGAGCCTCACTTGGGCACAATCTCTTGCGGAAACTTGTAAACAAAATAAAGCAGACTGCCCAAGGTAAAACCCCCAAACAATCAGGAAACACATACCTTCGGCGGAGCACTACCAATGTAGAAATATCAAACAAACGAAAGCGCTAAGTAATAAAAAGTCACTAACAAACATCCCAAACCCACATGTACCCGCGACACACTGCAAAAATTGTCAGAGAGGCATAAAAGACCATCAGGACGCTGTCGAACACACAGCCATTATACATATAGATTTTGGGAGGGGAAGATAAAATAATTTCCACGTCACTAGCAACCAAACTCACGCCAGACATGAAAGGAAGGAAGTGTGTGTGGGTGAACATCAGGATTAGATTAGAAGTAGCAAAAGGGCTGATGCGGCCAGAGTGAGAGGGCATGATACAACGCGCAAGTTCAACAACAACAACAACACACACACAACAAAAAAAAAAAAAAACGATTCTTTTTGTCTCACATCGCAACACCATCTTCTTATTTATTACTGTTCTTCTGTTTTCACATTTTTTCCCTTCTCTGCATCCTTATTTTTTATTCTTTCCACCCACATCCTCAAGTGGCATTGACCCCCCCCCCCCCTCCAGTCCCAATGGGCGGGTGCTGAAACCTCGTGTATGAACGATCGTGATAATGGTGTCGCTGCTAACGGCGAATAAAGAGAAACCCATTTTGTCCTTGTTATTTTTGCTTCGGTTTTGTGTTATATACATCCATACATGCGTATATATACTTTCATTCAGTCAGAGGCATGAAAGTATTGTGGTCGTCTAATATATATATATATATATATGTCACAAGCTCAAGTTCGCGGAAGCGTTGGTGAAAAATACCCTCATGTAGATGAAATAAAATGCTGAGCAAACGCAGTGGTTACTGAAAGAATGACAGAACAACGTAAAAATGTGTAATGGCTGAATTCCGTAGCTCTGTCAGCCCAGAGAGTGACAAAGGTTGCACAGTACGACCCAAATTGAGCTGAAGATGGTAGCCAGTACATTTTGTTATGTGTGGTCACTGCAACCTCAATCTCAACAAGCAGCCAATGTAGGGAACAGGCTCCTGGTTTGCCTAACGGCATTATACTACCTAGATTCGATGCGGGGAGGAGTGTTATCGGCATGGGCGTAATGGGCGGCGCGATGGTTTGCCCCGCCCCCATTAACTCCGGAGGGGGCAGTGCAAACGCCATGTAGTCTTGCGGTCTGTAGGTCTGTGCATCTGCTGCATGAAGCTTGGCCAGCTGTGCCCGTGCTCCGTGGAAAAACACACAATCATCGCGTAAACAGGCGCATTTTGCGTAAAATTAGCATCCACTACGCGGCAGTTTCCTCGTTTCGCCGTCCCAAACATGGATGCACGAGCAGCTTGACCCTCGAGGGAACTTGCTGGTGCGAAAATGGTCGGGGCAAAGAAGGTCCTTGTTCCTGTGCAATTCAGCCATTTACTGCTTCTGCTGCTCGGCCGTCCAGTGGGCGGGCGAGTGAATCATTGATGGAAAATCGATGTAAGCTGCGCTCCCCACCCCCCCCCCCCCCGACACGTCG